CATGGGAGAGGGCTGGGGTTCGATTCCCCATATCTCCACAGACTGTTTTCTTCCCACAGTTTACAGTGTGAAAAAGTGGCTGTTACTAACAGTCTTCTTTGAGGGCTGACAATTTTCTTACTAAAGTTCAAGAACTAAACTATCTTGAGTTAAGTAAACATTTACGTGCAATCTTCTTTTTAATAGGCATTAAATATAGAAGAAAAATTAAAAGAATAAGCAATTTTAGCAGGTGATAATTACCAATACCAAAAAAAATCATTTTTACGCTTCTCTCATTAATAAAACTTTAATGCAACTTTAAAGAATAAAAAATCTCGTTCATATAACATGGTAGACTAAAACTGTTTTAGAATTTTAAATTTTAGTTTAATCAATTCCGAATTCTATTGCTAAAAAACTTAGCTTGCAAGTTTTTTTCAATTGAAAACATTTAATAATACACTTCATTTTGATAGAGCAACGAAAAGTTGGTTATTTGAAATGCAAAACTTGTTCAGGTCATTATAATCTCTTTTCACCTACCTAATTTGGTTCCTTGACTAAAACAAAACTATGTAAATCTTGTTGCAATTAAATAGTATCATGACACTGATCATCCAGCATCTAAATAAACATGCGGTACAGTAAAACCAAATAATGAAAAAAATGTTAATTTGAAAGTTAGTAACTGCAAAATTAATACATTTAATAGCAATACTTAGTCAACGTAAACGTCACTTTTACACTCGTCACTCTTTGTTTTGCACAATAAAGTGACGAGTGTGAAAAAAGAATTCTTTATGTGTTTATATTGAATTTATTACTTTTTTACTACAAACAATAATGCGTAAAATTTCGTTATAAATCTGGTTTAAATTTATTTTCAAAAAGCATGTCATAGTCTATTTGCTCTAGTTAACCTATAAAAGTGGCGGTGATAATTCCGGTGGTAATAGCGCTTAACTCAAACTTTACTGCATCACAGTAACCGTCCGGTAGGCTTAAATGAGTCTTTTCATCATACTTTTGGTTTATTTCAACGCTGTTCAAGGTACAAAGTTAATTTTTTAGAATAAAAACTGATTAAGAAGTGCAAAATCGTGCTGTAAAAAAAAACTGAAAAAATTATTCTTGATCGTTTATAACGTTTTTAAGTAATTCAGGAAGTAAATTTGTATACAAATGTAGGTAAGAAAAAATTTTTTTATCCAGCAGTGCTTTTTTAAGGTACGGATTCTACGTACGATTCTTCGACTCCTAAAACAGCATACGACAGCAACACTGAATCCCAACAGACTACTGCAGAAGAGCAGTTAACTACTACTGTTGCTTCCATTGTTCATACAAATCAGATTGAAGAAATGCCAATTGATTCAAAAAATATTTATGAAAAACAAATTACCGTGCTTCCAAAGCAACATTTCTACTTTCCCTTCTCAGTTTCTTATAACGGTAATCAACTGAGAGAACTATATCAAATATTCCCAGTAGTTTTTACTACCAATCAATTCTCACCTGCAAGTGACAACTTTTTATATGACACTAGTTCGATTAGAAGCATTCCATACAAGCAACAAAATATCCGACCAGATATTGGAGGATATACGACATCTTATCGACAAAATGGTATGTCTACAAAAAGCTCATAAGTTTTGATTTTTGTGAAACAAAAAACAGCAAGTAAAAACGAAAATTGTTCACTGCTCAGTTTAACATATTACTTCTTTATCAAATTTATAACTTGTTATTTTTCTTTATTGAATTGAATACGATAAACTTATTGAGGCAATATATATTATCTTTGCCATAAAAATGTTTGAAGAACTTATAACTTGAAAATTTTCTATGCTTTTTTGTGGTAGCAGTTAGTTGTTTCTGTAAAAACATTCTTAAAAGTGGTTATTTATAAGGTCTATTTTCAACAGTTGTGAATCCAGTGTATCCTTATTGGCTTCGACAAGGACAAATAAACTATCGTAAGTGAATTTTTTTGTTACTTACGAAGTAAATTTAAGGTCTATCTTAAAATAAAAATCAAAGTGAAAGTTAGTAGATTTTTGCTATAACTTATTCAAGAATTAAAAGCGCAAAAAATCGGGCATAAATGGTAGTTTTTTGCATTTTTTCAATCTTATCGAGTTCAAAAAATCAAAAAGGAAACCAGCTGAACTCAGAAGATTGCAGGTGACTGCCTCTTCATTTTTCAGAATATCCAAGATTTCGATATCCGTACTTCTGTAACAGAGGCTTAACGATCAAATAAACTTGCCGTTTGCTAGAGTTGCCAAAAAATTTGTAAGATATTGAGCTTCCTTATTACAAAACCATATATTTCTATAATCAAAGACACTTTTTGAATAGTTTCAAGAAAAATTATGACATAAGTTTTATCTAATACCCAAAATGCCACCAACTATTCTGCTTGTTGTTGTTGTTTCTGTTGTTTTCTTCTATTGTTATTGTTTTAAAACTACTAGTTAAAGATTTATTTAACATTTAAAAAATAAAATCTCAAGAGATAAGAAGTGATGACAGAAATTGAGATCACCTGTTATAGTGAAACGAAGCCATGAACAAAGTGTCTGAATCGGTTGTTCAAAATGTTTAAATGTGACTGCTTTATGTCTATGGTCTTTATTAATTGTGACTTACAGTTTTCAATTAACTTCCTCGAAAGCAAAAATTTTTATCATCATTCATTCTTCAGATAATTTTCTTATTGATTACTAATTTATTCAAATAAAGTTTTCCTTTTTGGTTTATTTTGCTTATAAGTCTAGACAAATGGCTCGACTATTGAACTTTGGGTCAGATGATCAGCTATCATTACTGCAAAAATCAGGGCAAAGGAATAGTATCCTAATAGTTAGACGAAGCAAAAATAAAGCTCAAAAAAAAGATGAAATATAAATGAAGAGTTTTCGAAAAAACTACCATAACAAAGCACGTCTCAAAAGGAAAAGACGAAAAATGGGTGGTTCTGTCTAATTTTACAGGTGTATAGGCAGCTACTCAAGTTGACAGTAGATTAGTAATAGTAGCTAATTCGAATAGTTTAGACAACAACAAACTGTTGACAGTGAGGGTAATGGAAATAAACATTAAGTTTATAATGTTACTTCTTGTATTGTCTTACAAATTTCAAAAATTTATTGAAGCTAAAATATAAATCAAAAATTTTAGTTAATTTTTATATACCGCCTAAATTCTTAAACTCAATTCATAATTGTCTGAATAAAAAAAATACAACAGAAAAACTGCTATCCAAAAAAGTAGCAGATACCAAGCAGTACAAGCAATTAACTGACTAAATTTCAAAACTTTTTCCACCATATAAAGATATCTTTTATGGTCTATTGGAAACATAATATCATCAAATAGAACTTCAGTGTTCAAAACAGTTTGGTGGTAAATGTTCTATCAAGACATATCCTGGGTGTTTTTTACGCAAAACATCACTTTATACAGCTGCAAAAGCGCCACTTTACCATTGTCTA